GATTCCAAAACTTAATTGAAGTGACAGCAAGAGGTGACAAAGAAGTTGATCTTTATACCAAGAAGGAAGTTTATGAAACCACTGACAACTATATTACTCCCATGAAACATGAAAAAGTGCAAATTATGTATTCTTCAACGCTGGACGGAGGTCTTCAATCTGGCAAGGACATCTCCAGGCCTGAAGATAACCTACTGGCAAGAGAATTCATAGATGTTTCCCATGCCTCTGTTTCCCCTTCTGCCGGCAGGAATTCAAATGAGCCAAGGTTTCAGGTCAGTTTTTCTGAGTAATTTCATTGACATTTATATCTCAATTTTATTAGATTCTAGACTAATAATGGAAATTTGTGTACCTTATGAAATGTGTAATAAAGCGCAGTACTGTTCATTAAGAAGAATCTCTGAAATCTTGAGGAGAGAAACCTACCTGAATCCGCTGTCTGTTTGGTCCATTCTAATAATGTGTTTATGAGACCAATTATAAATATTAATTCTGGCGTTTATTCTGCTGCTCAGAATAGCTTGCATCAGAATCTCGAAGAATTCCTTGCAAAAAGCCCCTTATGGAAAGAGAGAGACAACAAACGTTCCTCCAATGTACTATCTCCCAAGTCCAATCAGCAGGACAACAGAAATCAAATTTTTTCTGCACACAAGAAAAAAATATAGAATCACATAGAAACGAAATAACTAGGATGCAGATTGCAGAGGAGTCCTGAACGTCAGAAAGGTCGTGATTGTGATCCACAAACGTTGGAATACCCTAATGATGGTAGCAGAGGAGCAATCAAGATTGGTCATGAATGGAAGAAATGGACTGCTGTGCTTCAGGTGCCATTTTATCTGTCTGGTTGGGCCTGCTGAGTTAGCAACTAGCTCTTTCTGTCTCATCAACCTCTAAGTTTTCACCTTGCAGATTTATTCAAAATTCTCAGAGGATTTCAAACAATTGATTTCTCTGTTGACCAAGGAGCTTAATTCAAAGTCGGTATGTCTCTCTTTATCTCTGGTTAACTTATCCAAAAAAATTAAAATAAAATGCTCTCCTTGTGCGGCTTTTATGTTACAAGATGCCACATGAGGATGGTCTTTGGATTTTAGCCTGATTTTTGAGTTCGCGGTCACAGAAGTTTAGTTTTGCCTATTACTTCACAATACTCTAAAGATTATTTTTTGTAATGTAGATCGATGTCCTGGAAGATATTTTGCTTCACCACCAGAGGTCAAAAACATATGAATTCCTTCACAATGAAATCTTTTCTCTGGTCCGCTAGCTCACAAGGATAATATGTGGCATTAGTAGGAAGAAGTATTGTGCAATTATAATATTAAAAATTTACTTTCTATTGTGTTCAAGTGTCTAGCTTACTAATTACTTCCCGACACCAACATTGACCTCTGTATTCTTTCTTCAGGAAACATCTAATCTTCATATCCTTAAGCGTGAAAGGTGAGTACTTAATTCAGTAACTGTGACTAAAAATTGATGCAGGTTCTTTTGTGCCTGCACAGTGATCTCTTTTAAATCTGCTTTAAAGGCCTGAGTTAACCAAAAAATGCACCTACAAAGACCGTATCTATCATAGAACATATCTTGTGTTAATTATGGATATAATCTCAATGCAGATTAGGTGAAACAAGACTATTGTTGCATCGGATTGTGCTCGAAAAGGCAAAGTTACAGCTGAAGAACGTGAAGCGGGAGTGACTGTTGGTACTTTTTTCTGTTGTTTCATTTCCGCTTTATGCCCTCTTTGTTTGTAACCAGTCAATTCACATTTTAAATGCAGAAAAAAATTACAAATCTTGAAATCTGGGATTCAGGAGTTGCAAATGTTAAAGATGAGTTATTTGTCAAGGTTACTGAAGACATGTACTGCTAATATCAAAGATGATGTTGTTTCTTGTCATTCATTTCCTATTGATTCAGAAAACAGACATGGGGTTTTTAACAAGTCAAGCTTCATAACTGTAATTTTATCCTTGTATTTTAGTGACCGTAGATATAAGTTTGCTCCTAGGTAAACCTTATTACATTTTCTCTTCGATGAGTGGGCAAATACTACTGCCTCCAAGTGGCCCCCTCTTCCCTGGGGGGAGGGCGGAGGGACGAGCTTATGTGATTTACACCCTTGAATACTAGTTTTAACAGTATGTATGTGGTTATGCGGAGGGAAGAGCTGATGTTTTATCAGTATGTATGTGGTTATGCGTATAGTTGTCCTCATTTTGTTATCTGTTTTGAAATTATAGGATGTCATGAGTTTTGTCCAGAAATTTGAGGAGATAGTCTTCTATATAATGCTTATCATTTTTGTAATGCCAGGGTGTATATGACAAATTGACTACAATGAGGCAGGCATTAGAAGCCTTGGAGAGAAAGATTACAAATTTGAACAGAACTTTTCATGCTTCTTGCGAGATCAAAGGTGAACCAAGCTGTTGTGACACCGTTGCTTTAGTGAATGAATGTTTGACGAAGAGGGCTTGTTGCAGGTTCATTCGTCTGTACATGCAGGCGTCTCATTCTTGCCATGTTTAACTGATACCCTCAGTATTTGTAAATGATTTATTAATTTAGTCAACGTCAAACATTGATTTCAATCAAGCTTTTATTCCTCTTTATAAATATGCCAAATGGAGCATTTTGAGCAGCATTCAACACGAAAGTAGAACTTCTTTCATAGTTTTAGTTGATCGTATGGCTTTTTAGGAGGTCACTGGCTCTTTTCAAGCCAGCCAAACAGAAGAACTTGGTTAAGAATTTTCCAATTTTCCCTCTATCTGAATATAATAAATAACAAGAATCTTTATATACAAATCAAATAAATCATGATTTGGATTTTTCTTTATTGTAAATTACTGGAAATTACAGTTTGTATTCTTATATATATAATTGTGGGTTGGACTCTGTGATCCATGCTAGTTGCCAATATACTTTTCTTGAATCCTTCTTCATTTTACATGGTAATTGGTGGGCTACCTTGATCACCACGTATAGACCGTGCTTACGGGTTTAGGTAAGAAAATGTCTATTTTGCAAACAAGTCATTCTCTATGGACAGACCCAAAATGGAAATGGTGGCATTCAATTGTGGATGGAGTGCTAGTTGTTTATATTTTAACGAGTAATTTCTTTTTTCCTCTTAACTCGTTAATGAAAGTTTACTGAGATGCCATCCATTCTTCTTCGCTTTTAAATTTTAAGAATCAGGATAATGTGGACATTTTTTCCCATCAAAATAAATGCTCTTTTTTCTTGTGCATTTTTTGATCAAATTCATGATCCTTATAATCGGTCAACAGCATTTAGCTTTAGATAAACGTGTTTCTATATGAACTTGTGTCTTTTCACTTGCAGTTGAGCAGCTTCATCTACAGCCTTGTTTCCTTAAGTTCATTAGCGGGAGGAAGGTGACCTTGACGCTTGACATGTCTTGTTTGAAGCGGTTAGTCCTATTCCTGAACTTTTCTGCCCTTTTCGCCCTTTTTCCCCCTTCCACTGGGAAGGGCCGGTTTTATACACCAGCTGATTGAATTTCCCCTCTCTACAGCCACCTGTTCCCAGAAAATATAAATAAAACTAAAATATTAAGGGTGTGTTTGATGGATATTATTTTGGAAGAATGTATTTTGGAATAGTAGATTGATAGAAATGTGTGTTTGAAAAAAAAAGGAAAGTTATTGATGTGATGGAAAATATTATTTTATTGAAGAATGTGTTGTTGAAAATGAGTAGGAGAATGTAAATGAAAATTTTAATGTGTACCAAACATGGGCTAAATGTTCTTTATAGATATTTGAAAGCGTGTGTTAAAGTAGGGCGTAAAAGGCCGTATTTTGACTACTAAGGTTGCCGTAGACTGAGGGGTTAAGTTGTCACATTTTCACCAAGTGGATTGCTGCCTTCGTCTCTTAGGTTGACATTAATCAGTAATCACAATGATCTTGTGTGCTAAAGCATGCACCGGTGGCATACTTATTTGGCATTCATTATAATTATAAATAGTTCATATTTATAAACTTTTTATAAACAATTAAATCACTTTTCATCCACATATTTTGAAGGACCTACAAGTATTATTCACTTATTCATCATTTGTTTCTATTCGTTTTTTAATTTAACCCTTTAATAAGCACACCCCAAACATTCTTTTGGAGGAGACTATTAACTTAAGCTTGATGGGAATAATTTAGGTTAAGTTGAAATGTATTTCCGCATTTCTCCGGTTTTATGTTTATTTGTAAGCTTGTAACACTCACTCGGATGGTATTATTACAGAGGAATTTATCCTTCGGAGGCCATTGAGCCATTCCATTGCATTTGGCAGCTCCAGCTCACGGGCCACGATATTCATTATCTGAACCAGCGTTAGCTGAAATCAAAGATGCAGCCAAGAAGGTAAGCAACGGCTATATGAGGATTTTCGGGCTATGCAAGTGTGTTTTCAAGGTTCTTCGAGCTTCAAATGCTTAAGTTGTTCGACAGAACCCTATTAGAGAAATAGCCGTTGTGATTTGATGAAGACCATGTTTATGATTGCCACGGCACTGAGCTTTTTAAGGAGATGAAAAATGAAAATAGCTTTGCTACACTTATGAGTTACGACGTTGTCTAATACTTCTTGTGCAATATTTTTGAAACATAATTAAAATTTTTCATTCTGCCCATAAAGCTAAAATAATTAATGTTTATATTTCTATATATAAAGGGTGATTGAAAACTTTTGAACCTCAAAATCTTTTCATCAATTATTAAAAATTCATGTTCTTTTTTTAAAATTATTTACACACGGTTTATTTTATGTTGGGCCCCACTCAATTTTATTTTGGGTAAAATTTTACATTTGCGAATAACTTGTTGGACCCCACTCCTAACCTTAAACAACCCACAAAAATGTCGGTGTCGAGGGATTTAGAGCATCTTCAAAAGATTCTGATTTTAAAAAGCATCTTTAACAATTTAGAGAATATCTATTAATTTAGAGAATAAATTTTTTTAAATACACCATTTATATTTAATATTTAATTTTGCTACTCTCAAAATATATTTATTGTTTTTCTTTATTTTTAAATTTCACTAAATTTTCTTTCAAATTATTATATTATTTTTTTCAATTGAAAATTGAAATACTCTGAATGTATTTATTTGGGAAGAATGGGTTTGGTGAGTCAAATTCACACTTCAGTTTAAAATATTAATTTAAAGAGTTTTTTAAAACATAATTATAAGAGTGGACTTTTTAAAATAAAGTATTTTAATCCATTTTTGACCTGCGTAAGATTTGGGAATTTTATTGAAAACGATGTACATACTGATTTATATAATGATGACATAAACGAGATAGAAAAAATGATGAACAAAAAAAGAAATTAAGTTATTTTTTGCTTTATCTCTCTTATGTGTCACAATTATGTGGGTTATTACTATCCTGAATTTAAAGACATCCTAAAAAGTAAGATATGCAAAGAAATTGTGATGATATCCTCTTCATGGGATATTTTGTATGACAAGTGAGAAAGATCTTATTGACTTCGAACATTAGCTTTTCAAAATATCTGTTGCTTTTTAAATTTAGTTTGGGAATTTTGCACAAATTGTCTCCAACCTATGGCTTTCATGTGAAATCACTCTCCATTCTTTTGTTCTAGCCAATGACCCTCATAATCCATTGTTTTTGTGTGCTATTAGTCCTTGAAGACATTGTGTCTAGACTCTAGTGTCCGTTAAAAGTCATGTACAAGTGTCTTTGAGTTCAACTATAAACTGTGCTACACGACATATAGTTGAATTGAAAGACATTTATACCCTCAAAATAAAAAGAAAAAGAGAAAAACTATACTCCGTTCCTCAAACCAACCAATCCCAACCTCCAACATTGACGGGCTGGAAATAAATAATATTTAGCGTTGATTGGTAGGAATTAAAATCAGATTTTGATACAAGTTGATGAAATATGTGGTTAAAAAGTTGTGAAATTTATGAAATATGTTATTAAAATTAATTGTTGACTTTATATTAGATTAAAATCTAAATTTTAACCTCTACCAAACAAGGTCTTATATGTCTCACCAGTTATTCGACCCACCAGGATGACAGAATGCAAATGGGCATCCACCAGAACTTCTTTCCCATTTGCGATGGTGTTGGTCAAAATCATTCCGACACCAGCTACTGCTTTGAAAATCAAAACCTATAGAATTCTAGGATTTACTCCTCCATCACCTAACATATAGTCTACCTTTCACATTTTCAAGTATTAACGTGCTAATTATGCAGAGATTCTTGCTTGCTTGTATTTTTGTCCTAAACAAATAGTAGTTTAGTAGGCAATAAGTTATCCAAATAAAATGAAACGTAGAAATAAGTTTCATTGTAGTTAGGTTGATGCACAAAAGAAAGCCAAGATCAAGCGTTCTAGCATTGACAGTGGTTATGGATAACGCCATGTTGCACAAACGGTAGGAACTAAGTGCACAATTTCATGGATTAGAAATGGCAATGAAGTGGGGGACTCCATTCCCATCCTCATACCTACACGTGGGGTTCTCCCCATCACTCTCCCACTTAGGCGGAGACGATCTCAATCCCCTATTAGCCCAAGTTTTTATTTATTTTATCTGTAACGATATGATGTATTATTTGAAATTTCTTTGACTATGATCCTTGTCCTCAGCTAGTCTCTGATCGGGCTGATTTGCTAACCTTGTCCTGGTCCCATCCCCGTCAAGTTGAGGAATTTTTTGTTCCGTTGCCATCACTATCATGGATCAACAAACACATTTGTGCAAAATTCCCATTTGGTTTTGTAAATAAGGTAAACAGAGGGGGCAATGTGGAATAAAGTTAACAAACTTATCTCCTTTTGGCGGATTGCGTCTCACGTGTCTTACTTATGCCTTATCTTAAAAAACCACTAATTTTATTAATTATTATTAAATTATTTATGGTACTCCACTTTTCTCGTACCTTACTCGCCAATTTTACCGCCACGTGTCCTTTTATTACAATTAAATTACGTAGGACTCTATGCTGGGACTTTATGCTTGAGCAGAACAGAAACTAAAAAGGAGATAAAAGTAGAAAGAAACTTGACTTTTTAAAAAAAAAAAAAAAAAACATTTTATAACATTCTGATTTTAGAAATTATTTTTATATTGCATAAGTGACTTATTTTAAATTGCAATGATATCATTCATGTAAAGAGAATTTTCTTGTAAAAATATTAAATTGGAGTGTGATATTTGCTACTCGTCTTCCTAAAGCGTCTCCAATGTGGGTATGTGGAGGCTATAAATTTTAATGTCATTTTCTTTGAAAGCCAGTCTATCTAAACACCGTACATACTGCAATAAACGGAAGGAATTGCAGATGCTCTTAGTGGCTATATTTGATTTTTTAATAAGAAATGCGAAATTCGGATTATTTTCCATAGAAAATTTTCCATTTCCACCCAAACTCTTACTTTTGGAGTGTTTGATTAACATTTTTTTCTATGAAAAATATTTTTCAATTTTTGATCGTGTGATCATATTTTCCTCAAAAAGAAGGAAAACAAAAATTTTCTAGATAATTCACTCTCTCTCTCTCTCTCTCATCTACACATAAATAAAAATTAACTAGTATACTATTTTTAGGTTAAAAATTAAATAAAAAACATATTTAATTAATAATTTTCATGCAACCTATGTGCATGTTTGTTTGGTACAGACGATTGAATAGAACCGAATAATATGATATATGATTTTGTCTTGTTTTTCTTTGTTTTGATTTGGACATTGAACAAAAATCTAAATATTCGAAAAAGACCCAAAATTTTATCCTTTTTTATTCTTTAGCCAAATTGAAAAATAAAGAGGAAAATATCTTAAGAAAGAAAGATATTTTAGTCGGGACACAAAGAGCAATAGGGAAAAAGTGCGGGCCTAACTTTTCCTTTTCATGATAGCGACAGGGTCCCACCTCCCTACACATTTCTCCCTTTCTCTCTCTTACACTTTCATCACTTTTTCGAACTAGTTTATTATTTCTTTGTTAGAGCCCAAGAATTCGAGAGAGTACACATCTTCTTCAACTTCTTTCAGAGAGAGAGAGAGAGAGAGAGAGATTCTTGAAAAGGTTTGATATTTTTTTTTTCTCTCTGTACGGTTTCATTTGTGAATGAAAGCTGCAGAAAAAAGCTTCTATACTGTGCTTACTGTTAAGTATTTTATTTTATTTCCCGTTTCCCGTCTTGGAAAATGGTCTTTTTTTATGTAACGATCTGGATTCTTGGAGAATTCAATTTGTATTTGTAGATTTAGAGAAATTGGTTTTTTGTTTTCGGTGATGATTACTTGGAATTTTCCTTTTATTGTTTTTGGTAAACATCGGGATTTATGAATTATGTAGCTGGAATTGTTATAAATTGTGTTTTGAGCTGATGTTTGGATTTTTTTCTTAAGGGTGTACTGCATTTTTTTCCAGTTTTTTGAAATTTATATATAAAAAAAGATAATAAGGACTTTAAAGGTTTTTTTTTTTTAATAATTTGATTTCTGCCCAGTTGAAAAGTTATCTTTTTGTATGTTTAGTGATGATTAGGAATAAAAGAATTGTAGTTGTTTAAGATTATTCCCTTTTGTCTGGATTCTTGATCCCCAGTCTGAATAGTTTGGCATCTCTAATTATATAATTATACGTTGTGTTGTGCTGCGTGTATATCGCAAAAGAATTTGTTCTTATAATTAAAAAAAATGCGTTGCATATCCGATAGAATTTGTTCTGTGAGGCTCTGGGATTTAATTGTTAAATTCTAGCTTGCAAAAGCCATTTTGTTCTGCTTAGGCAAGGTGAATATCGTTTTGTTTTCGCCACGGCCTTCTTTTCCCTATCTTTCATACAGATTCAAGTTGCAGTGATGCACAATTTTTTCCCTTGAAAAATTGTAATATGCAGTCTCTCTTGTTTTCGAATATTGATTTCCTTTTTCTTTTAATGCAGACTTCAGCTCACAACAGCCACTGGTTCTCTCTGTGCAAAACTGATCTAAATTATCTGTTCAAAACCTGCATTTTGTTGGTTTGAATCAGTACCAAGTTGCTAATTGGAAGAAAAATTCAAAAGTAGTTAAAATATGGGTTATCTATGTGATTTTTGTGGGGAACAGAGATCCTTTGTATATTGTCGCTCGGATTCAGCATGCTTGTGTTTGTCCTGTGACCGTAATGTCCATTCAGCGAATGCCCTCTCAAGACGTCATCAACGGACACTTCTGTGTGAGAGATGCAACTCTCAACCGGCTTTTGTCAGATGTTTTGAGGAGAGGACGTCTCTTTGTCAGAATTGTGATTGGGGGGGGCATCCGAGCTCAAATGGAAGTCCTTCGCACAAGAGACAAGTGCTTAATTGTTACACTGGCTGCCCTTCAGCTGCCGAACTTTCTTCAGTCTGGTCATTTCTTTTAGATTTCTCTCAGGTCAAAAATTCAACCTGTGAGCAGGGAATGGGTTCAATGAGCATCAGTGATAACGGACCAAGGGACTGTGAAGGTCCCGAAGGAAAGAATGACACTCAAAATGCACCTGTTGCAGTCGAAATGAGTGACTATAGTAATATGGCTGTCGATAAATCAAATGTTAGGATGAAATCAGAAACACCTTTGGTTGATCCCAAGGTTAACAATGCAGAACAGCTAGTCAAGTCAACTTCAGCTAATTCTAAGGTAGAATATGTTTCATAACATTTATTTTGGAGAGATAGAATGTCAATAGAATATATAAGGAACTTATCTTCTTTTTTGGTCCTTTGTTTTCCATCTATTTTTATGTCATCTGATATATATTCCTTAGATTTGCAAAATTGGTGACCTAGTGTTATTTCTTCTCATTTGTCCTAGGTTTTAGCTGCTAAATTTGAACAAATTCTGTGTTTGTACCTTGCCCTGATTTGAAACTATTAATATAAACTTATACTTTACATTGCTTCTTCCCCTGGTTTCTAGTGCCTGGCAGACCACTTAGGTGCTCCAAGAACAATGAAAAACCTTGTTAAGACCAAACTGAAAAAAAAAAAAAAACAGAGAGAGAGAGAGAGAGCCAAATTATGATTTCTTAAACGACAATGGTACTAGGTTTATTTCCTTATGAATGATCTTCATATATTTCTTCTTTTAAGGTTTTGTTGGATGAAATTTGCAGAGATTGATAATTTTTCTGAACATCCAATTTTTTAGAGTTGATATTCTCAAGTATTCAGGCTACATGTTCATCCTTGCAAACTATGCAACTTCTTCCAGAAAGGAAAAATATAACGATCTTTTCAATTGCATCCATTCACGATTTATCTTCTTCTACTTTAAAAAAGGACTATAAAGTCTTACCTTGCTAATTTGCAGGTTTTCTTCTCTGGAAAAGAAGGAACTGGTTTATTTAGAGATGATCAATTCTATGATGATTTTATTATGGATGAAATTGACTTAAATATTGAGAACTATGAAGAAATCTGTGGCGTCGCTCTTAATAATCAAGAACAGCTATTTGATGATGATGAGATTGACGGAATATTTGGGATGAGGGACAAGTCTGGTGCTAATTCCAACTGTCAACATGCCTATGCTGCTGAGGTAATTCTTTGCACTACACCTGCTTTAAACTACCAAATTTCATATTTTATAGTTATATAAAATATTTTCTGATAACTAAGATGCTGGGGTTTTTGTTAATTGATTTAGATATTTAAGTTTGATTATCCATAAGGAAAGAGGAGTTGAACAGTGTAGTGTATAGGATTAGAGTCAGTCAGGTGCCTATGCTGCTGGCTCTGCTTCAATCGTGTCCATGTGAAAAGTTCAAATAGTTTTCAGCTTGGTACACTGGACCAAGTGTCGTTGAATTTTTTCTGTTGTTCCACTGCCATGCAGACTCTGTTCTCGGGTGAAAAATGAGAACGGGAACAGGAACTCCATGGCTGGAACATGGTAGAATAGGGATATGCATCATCAGAAAGCTTCACTCAAATGAAATTAAATTGTATATCACTCTGAAAATGTGTTCTGCAGCAGTCACTTGTACCGATGTGAATGCGTCCTATTTTTAATTGCAGAGATATGATTTTGGAGCTTTCGGTACGTGTAGTGGTGGATCGAACAAAGTGGCTATAAAAGAAACATGTAGACGGACCCAAGTATTCTGGGAGGAAGGCTTAGTTTATTGTTTTTGTTACCAAGGAATAAATCTTATTGAAAGTGCAATGTGGTCCATATCATTAATATTGAATCAAGCATACTACTTGGACAATTAGACCTCTTCCATAGATTTAGAGGAAAACCTTCCCATGCTTCATCTTTTGGCCATTGTGGATGCATTTCCTCGGGGATGATAAGCTCATTTGGACCTGTTAATGAATAGCACATAAATTTAGACATATCAGGAACAGGTTTTTCTTATGAATCAGACTCTTCTCTATGCACAAATATGCTCTGAGGTTCTTGTGGACATCTGATGTTAATTTGAATTTGTGTCTTGATTTTTGTATTTTCTTAAGGTTCAAATATTCGAGATCCATTTCATGCCATTCATTTTGTTGATTACATCAGGAATAGTAGTTTTTTTTCCTAATCATCTAATTGGAAAGTTTAAGCTGTTAAAGAAGGTTCACATACATTCATTTAAATCTTGTCTTCAAAATGCCTCCTAACGTGTAGGCTATATCAGTTTTTCCTATGAAAGGCTAACGCTTGATTAATTTTTTCTATTTTCAAAAAAATATATATGTTATTCATGAACATTTATGGGTTGGATTGAAATCTCTAACGCCTTTGTTCTTCTCTTAATAGGGGTCATCTGCTGTGGGGGCGAATGTGGCACAACCAACATGCAGCAATGGAGCATCTGCGGATTCAAATATAAGCTGTAGGACTGATCCAAACTTATGTTTTGCGAGGCAATTTTCTGGCCTCAATGAAGAAAGTAGTGCTGGAGATTATCACGATTGCGGACCTTCTTCGATGCTTCTCATGGGTGAGCCGCCATGGTGTTCTCCGGGTCCTGAAAGTTCCACGCCTTCTTCTATCAGGAATGATGCAGTAATGCGTTACAAAGAGAAGAAAAAGACGCGAAAGTAAGATTTAATTTGAGTTGTATTAATTTTCAAGTTGAACTTATTGGAGTTAAATCTGACTAGTATTGAATCATAACCTTTATCTGATACCACTATAAAATCTATGGACCTGACATATCACTATAAACCCGTTTTACAGTGTGAGACTCATCTTCGATTTGTTCATTGCACATTGCAATTGTACTCAAGCGAAGTGGGAAACACTAACATTCCCCTTCATTGCCTAGTGCCAGGGCTGAAGTCACAGGGCATTCTCTCTCTACACAGGTCTAGAGAATGAAACCCAACCCATCCATGGCATACACCCGCTTTGATACCTTGTAGGAAAATATTGATGGATGAAAATATGTGTTGGACGTCTTTATTTCTCTTAACGAGAGATTATGCACTAATAGAACATTGGACTCATCTATTTAGAATGCTAAACTAACAAGGATATAAAGCCAACAAGACATTAAACTGACAATGATTACAAGACAGGATCTAGGATAAAAATCAATACCTATTGGTTGTTTCTATTTGTTGACCTAACCACGTATATGTCTTCCAAGATTGCCATGCATTTGGAGCATTGAATTTCTGTCCAACTAACTTATTAGATGGTTAAAAATCTTATTTCTTCAAGGTAAAAACTGTTGTTTTGTTCAAGTATAAGCTCTTGTACGGCTGGTGTCGAGTTACTCCACTTATTGGTTTCGACTTTTTCATAGGAATTGAAGTTTTTATAATTTGTTCTAAGCAGTCTCTTAAATTTGACCATGTAACAGATTTGAGAAGAAAGTAAGGTACGCATCTAGAAAGGTAAGAGCAGATGTAAGAAGACGCGTGAAGGGACGGTTTGTCAAGGCTGGTGAAGCATACGATTATGATCCACTGAGCAAAACCCTAAGTTACTGAGTCAATCTTAATGGTTATTCAAAACTGAGAACGATCGATCAATTGCAATCAGGGATTGGAAAAGGATGAGATGAATTATTTCCCTTGCAATGACAAATCCATGCAGGGATCTTGTTTTTCACCAACATGTTCACTCGATGTGTTGGTTATCTGGAAGAATGATTTCCCTACTACGTTTAACTACTGAGTATTGATCGTCATTCTCTTGATAAGAATAGCCCGACCCCGTAATGCGCAAGTCTTCACTGTCAGCCGTCTACTATATAGAGCAAAAATGCAAGCCGTTTGAAGCTGCAGTTGTGCTCGGTTTGCCATGTTGTGTTATTTCTGTTAGTTTTTGCTTCATTAGCATTTCTTCCTGTGTAATCTTAGCTATGGTGAGATAGCAAACTTTTTTAAAAGGTCGTGTAGTCTGTATGTAAATTTTTAATGAAAAGAGAGATGTAAAATATTTATAATTCGTTATATCCATTTCAGCATACCCACCATTCTCGTAGATGATTCTTCTGAAGCAATAATGTACTGAAAAATAAAAATATACATAATTTTAACAAGAACTAATAATCATGACCTTTTAGACTCTTTATGTTAACTAGAAACCAATGATACCTTGAAAGCTTATAAGCAATTGTCCAGAAAACAAAAGTTAAAACATCAATTCACTATTTGCGTGCTTCTGCTGAAAAAGCATTTTGCAAAGGGACCCTGCTGCTCCACGTAGAGTTGTGCGGTGGGTACAAGGTGGGATTCACATCGATACCTCACAATATGAGAGAGGGTGGGATTTTTATGGCAATTTTTTATTACCATGGGTCTCGCATGGGGCCCACCCCATGTGAGTGTGCGTAAAACTTTTATAAAACTTATTTCTATACATATGGCTTTGTTCCTCCACGTAGGTACCACTTGATGTCCCCCTATAGGTGGAGTTTCATTGGTCCTATTCAAGCAGAATGATCGTATGCAAAGATATGAAAGAATCGTGCTGTACACGTCACGTCCTTGGTCATATTTACAAAAAGAAAAAAAAAATGTTATACAAGTCACTTTGTAACTTGTAGAATCATGCTACATGTATATTTTCTTTGACAACAAATTTGATATTGTGCCACGTGTGTTGACATCATTGAACCGTTTAAAAAAACACACATTTTCGCCCATTACAATTTGAAACTCAATGGAGGGTAAACCACATTGCACACGAGACAATATACAAGTGGTTTTATCCTTAACTTCTAATTGTCGTTCCAAACTCGATTACACCTTTGATTATAAGTTTCCACTTGCCTTCCCCGTAATTATCGCTAAGAAATATTGTATGCAAGTTGCAACTAGCAAGGAACATGGAGTGAATAGAAAAGTGATAATTTTGATGACGTCGGGAGTTTTTGACTGTGTGAATACAAAAGAGCAAACTCTCATCTACCATTGTCAATACTTGTCTAAATCTTCATCTTTCTTATTTTCTACAAAAAATCTCAACATCTGTAAGTTTCTTGCTCTCTTTTTCTTCTGTGTTTTAATTTATGGAACGTCTTTATGTTGGGGGGGGGGGGGGGGGGGGG